ACCACTTACCACAATCCTTCAGGACCGTCAGCCAGAGCCAAAGTGCAGAAGACACCCTACATCTTACGGCCTCTCTCGACCACTTACCACAATCCAGTTTTGGTGAGTAGCCCCATTCACCAGGGCCCTTGTGTCAGAATCCAGTATTTTTTCAGTGGTAACTCGGACAAGGTGAGTATTCACCACGCTTTCCTGTTTTTTCCGCCTGCAAACACGGTGACTTTTTCGGTGTTGACTCGGCCGTGGTGAGTACTCGCCACACCTACAACCGTGGTTAGTCTTTTGCTGGTCACTCGGCTGTGGTGAATACTCGGCCATGGTGAGTACTCACCATGTTTCCCTGTTTCCCTGCATGCAAACGTGGTGATTTTTCGGTGGTGACTCGGCCCGTGGTGAGCACTCACCCCTCGTGCAAACGTGGTGAGTTTTTGGGTGGTGACTCGGCCGTGGTGAGCACTCACCCTGCCTGCAACAGCGGGGATGTGGTGCCTCCTCTCCGCCTAGCACTCACACGTGTGTGGTGCACTGAGTATTGGCCTGTAGGTGGTCACTCGGCCGTGGCGAGTACTCACCCCACCTGCAAACGCCATGACTTTTTTGGTGGTGACTCGGCCTCTCAGCCGCTACTCACCCATGTATGGTGAACTGAGTATTGGCCTGTAGGCAGTGACTCCAACAAACGTGGTGAATTTTTTGGTGGTGACTCGGCCTCTCTACCTAGCACTCGCACGTGTATGGTGCACTGCGTATTGGCCTGTAGGCAGTGACTCGGCCGTGGCGAGTACACACCCCCCACCTGCAACACTAAGTTTTTTGGTTGGGACTCATCCGTGAGTACTCACCCCACCGCAACAGCGGGGGTGGTGCCTCCTCTCCGCCGCCCTCGCCGCACGAGGGTTGTGGTGTGGTGACTAAGCCGTGGTGAGTACTCACCCCGGCTGCAAACGTGGCGGGTTTTGGCAGTGACTCGACCGTGGTGGTTACTCATCCCACCTGCAACAGCGGGGTGAGTTTGGTGGTGACTCGGCCTGCAACAGCGGGGTTGTGGCACCTGTGGTGCACTGAGTATTGGCCTGTAGGTGGTGGCTCGGCCGTGGTGAGTAATCACCCCACCTGAAAATGCGGTGAGTTTTTCAGTGATGACTCCGTCGTGGTGAGTACTCACCCCACCTGCAACAGCGGGGTTGTGGTGCCTCCTCTCCACCACCCTCGTCGTACCGCTCTGGCCTTGGCTTGTAGCACTCGCCCATGTGGTTGAGTGTTGGCTTGTGCACGGTGACTCGGCCGTAGTGAGTACTCACCCCACCTGCAAACGTGGTGAGTTTCTGGTGGTGACTCAGCCGAGGTGAGTACTTACGGCGCCTGCAACAGCAGGGTTGTGGTGCCTGCCACACAGACCTGGCCTTGGCTTGTAGCACTCGCACATGTGGTTGTGTTGGCTTTGGCTTGTAGCACTCTCCCATGTGGTTGAGTGTTGGCTAGTGGGTGGTGACTCGGTACTCACTATACTTATTGGTGGTGACTCAGCCGTGGTGAGTACTCGCACCTGCAACAGCGGGGTTGTGGTGCCTCCTCTCGGGGGAGGGTCGCCCATGTGGTTGAGTATTGGCTTGTGGGTGGTGACTCGGCCGTAGTGAGTACTCACCCCACCTGCAAATGTGGTGAGTTTTTTGGTGGTGCCGTAGCCCTGGTGGGTACTCACACCGGCAACAGCAGGGCTGTGGTGCCTCCTCTCGGGGGAGGCTCGCCCATGTGGATGTGTTGGCTTGTGGGTGGTGACTCGGCCGTAGTGAGTACTCACCCCACTTGCAAACATGGTGAGTTTTTGGTAGGCCCATGTGGATGAGTGGAGGCTTGTGGGTGGTGACTTGGCCGTAGTGAGTACTCACCCCACCTGCAAACGTGGTGAGTTTTTTGGTGATGACGCAGTAGTGGTGAGTACTCACACCTGCAACAGCGGGGTTGTGGTGCCTCCTCTCCGCCCCTCTCCCTGCGCCGGCCTGGCCTTGGTTTGTAACACTGCAGTACTCACNCCTCCTCTCCGCCCCTCTCCCTGCGCCGGCCTGGCCTTGGTTTGTAACACTGCAGTACTCACCTGCAACAGCGGGGTTGTGGTGCCTCCTCTCCGCCCCTCTCCCCGCGCCGGCCTGGCCTTGGTTTGTAACACTCACCCGTGTGGTGAGCGTTGGCTTGTGGGCAGTGACTCAGCCGTGGTGAGTACTCACCCCGCCTCCAACAGGGGGGTTGGGGTGCCTCCTCTCGGCCACCCTCCCTTGGCCTCTCTCGGCCGCCCTCCCTTGGCCTTGGCTTGCAGCACTCACCCGTATGGTGAGTGTAGGTGCCGGCTTTGGTGAGAGTAAGCGCCGGCTTGGCCTTGGCTTGCAGCAGTCACCCATATGAAGTGTAGGCTTGTGGCACTCACCCGTGTGGTGAGTGGTGGAGCTACAGCGGCCATTGGTGAGAAAAGTCCCATGGTGAGTACTCACCTTGGGAAATCCAGTTTGGTGACTGGTGGACCAAGGCTCTTAGGGCACGCTCACACTTGTACTTTCCTGAATATAGCATACAGTAACCAAGGCCATATTCACCCGCGATGGTCCTGGTTTGGGCACGTTCTTAAACCACTGGTCTCAGGAGGGGCCCTCGGCCGGTTTGCCACGCACTCGAATGGAAATTTTTCTTCACAGAAAATGGGGCACTTCTTTGCAGTGCGGGCCAACGGCCAAGGTATCCTCAATATTAGGTGGGATCAAGCAATAGGCCTACTGAGGGACCATGCTGCCCACTCTTCTCCGCATGGTTCCAATTTTAACGGATGGCCCAAAGGACGGCTTCGACCTGTGACTATGGGCAACAAAAACACTCACTGAGGCTGGGTTACCTGGCTCTATCAAAGAAAACAAACAAAGAAAACGATAAAGAGACTTTCTCTTGTCACTGAACTTCTGCAACACGTGGACGAAGTATACGGTAGACGATTCCTCCTCAGCAAATTTGCACGTAAGTCTCTCTCTCTC